GAATTTGGTGCATTTTGATTTGATCTAGGCACATTTCGGTATGCATTAAATGAATTTCGATTTGAATTGAATGAATTTTGTCTTGAATTGAATGAATTTGAGTTTAATCTTGAATTTGAATTGTAAGAATTTGTGATAGGCCTTGGATTTGAATTACTCTGTTTGTTTCTTCTACATTCGTTATCACTATGATTCGTCATTTTGCAATTTGAACAATATTTTCCGGTTTGAACATTTCTTTGATTTGAATTCGCATTAGCTTGAGCAACGAGACAACTTTTCGGATTACCGGTATTTGAATTGCGATTTCTATCAGTTTTTTGTTCACGTTCGATAAGTAATTCATATTCAACGGCTTTTTCTGCAGCCAGTTGTATGTTTTGAAATGTATGGTGTCTCATGGCGACACGGAGATCAGAGTTAAGACCCATAATGAAATATTTGACTGCTTTAGCTTCTGCTTGAGCTTTATAAGTGGCTCTAGTGTCTTCTGGTAAATTTTCAGCTGAATCAATTGTATTACTTAAATGTTCTGCTACTCGAAAACTATAATCTGTAACTGATTCGTTTGGCTTTTGGAAAAACAATACAAATTCATCTAACCATTCGTCTGGTAACTTCTTTGGAAAATAATGTCTCTTTACAAAAGCTTGTAATTCATCGATAGTTTTTACTTTTGAAATAATAACGCGATTAAGAATTGGATTTTTTAATCGATTTTTAAGAAATCTGAGAATTGTTTTTTGATCATACTGAGGCGTTAATTCTTTTGCATCTTCACATGCTGAGATAAATTCATTTGCTGGATAATTTGAACCATTAAATTCCGGAATTGTGCTAATGAAATTTTTTGCGGAGCGCGTTTGTGCATTTGTAATAGCCGATAGATCGTCGGGGTTCATTCGAAATTGAACATTTTGTTCTGGCATTTTGTCGGTGTGTTTTGAGCTCGCGTACAAAATTCACTTTTTACAAAAATTAGTAAATTAAACGACTTACAGTATTGTTGATATAAACAAATTAAACATCGTTTGAAGTTGACTGCGCTGGTAAGGTCGTTGACCGTTGTATCAAGGGCTGGATGGCTGGATCGTCTCTGGGTTGCACTTCCTCTGCCGACGGGTGGTTGAACAGGGCTCCACGTAGATCCGGTGATGAAGTTCGATCAGGATTTAGAAGTTGGGTCCAAGTGGGCACGATAGAGTGTTCGGCGTTGAGGGTACAGTAGACTCCACTTCAAAAGAATTGTATTTTTTTTTGATCGGCAAGGCACTGCTGTCACCGATTTATTTGAAGATTGATGAAATTTGTCTTCTTCGAATTTGTGTCTAAAGGTCACGATTGGAGAAACACCGCTGCCACCATTTATTTATAAAAAGGATAGCTGTTACGTCCCAAATGGATTACTCTTTTATTTTCACTGAGTTAAGAATTGATCTGGATTTAGAAGAAAAGATTTAACCCTTCTGGTCGATAACTCCAGGTGTTGAGGGAAGCTATTCCTTTAGGTAGGTTCTTTCCAATCAACTACTGCGCGTAGCTGACCAATCAAACACGATTAGGACACAATTGTTTAATTTAACAATATTTATTCAATAACAAATAACACTTGGGTTTATTACACTGTTCACTATTGTAGTCTTTGAATCTTATGATTTAAGTTTCACTTGATATTTTAAATGTTTTTTTATTTCTTCAATTTTGGTTATTTCAGTTGACTTCGATTATTTTAATAACACTGTGATTTGAGTCCCGAACACCTTGAATTAGGAAATAGGATTTCGGAGTTAGAATATTCACCGGGACTTGACTTGAACTAGAAGTTTAACTTAGTGTTTTGAATAAGATCGGAAGAGGTAGTTATTTCTACTTTCCACTTTGAAGTTGTAGATTGAAGTCATTTCTCTAAGGAAGGATTTGAATATCTAAGGGTTTCTTAGCGGTCACGCGTGGGCGTTCACGCTCTAGTTTCAGAGGGTAGGATTGGTTGATTAGGGATGCTGGAGAGGATAGAGGCGAGCCGGTTGGTTTTTGGGTCAAGCGGGGAGCCTCGATAGTTATGATTGGATTTTTGGACATTAAGGGTGCAGCTGCGTTTTGACTCTTAAGAAAATTCTGTTCTCACGGAACGTTAGAATTGGAAAATGTCACTTGACACTTATGACTTTCAGATTTTTAGAGTTCGCCGTGTTCGGTTTACAATTTCAGGATGAAAATCCTTATCTTACATATTTATTTCGACTTTTATGATTTTTTGAAAAGTTTATGATGCACGTGTGCATCCATCTGTTTTTAGGTTTCGTTTATCACGTGGGAATGGTATTTTTAAATGTTTCTCAAGAAAAAATGTGGTCTGGACACTTGAGTGTTATTTCTTAAATGTAATTAATAATTTCTTATTTTATTGGATTGGAAAAATGATATTCGAATATTGGGCCTTATATACTAATTGCTGGTAAGACTCGACAGTCGATAAAGTAAAGTTAAAAATTTAATATAACGCCATCAGGTGGCCAAGGTAGGGACGTAACAATTTATATGATTTCACTGATTACATTTTTATTTCACAACTAAAAGAATCCTGTTGACTCCTGATTCCCCGACTTTGCCGCCTAATTTGAAAAACATCTGTAGGACCAACACTAACACAAATGATTTAATAAAGCGATTAGGTGAGTAAACAATTCATTAAAGTAACTCATCCGTCACCTACAGTTTCCTACTTATCATACTATATATTTAAAGAATTCTAATTATTGAATTTTATAATTAAATCGCCTGAGAAGTTTTTTAAAAATTTAAACAGTGGAATTTATCATTTTTAAACATTTTTTTTTCTCAAACAAAGAATAGTTGATGGAGAAAAAAATATGGATTATGAAACTAATCAAGTATTCAATTATCTCTGAAAAACATAGGATAAATGTTCAAATAGAGCTAATTTAATAGAAAATTTTATGAATATTGGCTGGTAATGGCATCTACCTTGTGTACTGTTTAGTAAATATGGAAATTTAACTTCTGTCATTTTTTTTATAGACCACAAATCACAAGCTTGTGAAGTAGAGGCTTCTACATCACACTCCACACCAGCTCCTGAAGAACCTCTGGATTTGGAAGCAACTGAAGATACCCGAATAGACTTTCTGTCAAAAGATTATTCAGGAAGTATTGGACATGCAACACCTCACGGGCGAGGGATCAAGCGTTACAGACGTTCTGGTAATGAACATTATTCATCAATTATTTCTCTTGTGCTTGATTTTTCATTGTACTGTCATGCAGGAGCTCCTACTACGGGCCTCGAGTATTTCTTAAGTTATTTTTCTTTATTTTATGCACACATCCTGACCTATTATGTATATCAGGGTTAAAATCATAAAAGAAGGGAGGAATTTTTTTTTTTTCACCAGTCAATCCATTTTTCAACTACAATTTGCTAATGTCAGTGAAGAAAAAAAAATTATCCCGCTGAAATCCTAATTCATTTCAGATATTCATAATCTCGAAGTTGTTCATGTAAAGAAGAAAACCATTGGAACTGTAAATATCACAATAGGTATCCCTGAAGCACTGAGCCAAGAATGTCTGACGTTCCTCACAATTTTCATTCGGAAGATTGAGATTTTGACACCATGTAGAGTCAGAATTCTCATTGAAAAAATGAAGGAGCTAATGAACGAATCATGAATGATGTTTTGATCATTCTCTACAACCTCATTCTAAGTGAACCATGGAATTCATGATCACACTAATGAATTTATAAAATTGTGAACAAATTAATCATTGAGATTGGTTACTAAAAATTCTAATAAAATTCATTATTAATTCAATTTTTGACGCGTTTCATTCATTCGCATTGAAGTAAATGGTAAATTCCAGAAAATTTTTTTTAGGTAATTTTCAGCTGAATTTAGACGAATAACAATAAAAAGAAGATCCTTAGGAATAGATCTTTGTACTTATTCTAGAACACGAAGATGTATCTGTATATTTACTTCATGATACTAATATTGCTTTTCCATTGACAGAGTCCACAGTTCGGATGACGAAGAAAAAACGTCTTGAAACTGTGGGCTTCGCAAACAGAGATATAAGCCCGTGTAAATCTACATTACTAGACATCATCAGTGACCAAGAGAAAAAATTGAGAAAGCAAATAATAGAACTTCAAACATGCAAGGATTCCATCAAGTGTCTCGTATCTTCCACGAAATACTCCGATTTATTAAATGACATTTCGTTACCCGCCCTACGTTTATTGATAATTAGCGATTTAAAGAATGGCCGGAGGAATATTTATGGTAGGAGATGGACTGACTATGAGAAAATCATGGCTCTATCGATTTATAAACGAGGGCCTCGGGCTTATGCCTTACTTCAGAAGCTCCTACCACTGCCCAGTGTCAAGACAGTATCGAGATTTCTACGGAAGATTCCCATGAATGTCGGGATACATTCAGAGATTCTTGCCAATGTAAAAATCTCAGCTGAGAAGATGACTTACGTTGATAAACACTGCCTTTTAAGTTTCGATGAAATTGCATTGAAATTTTTCTATACATTTTTCACCTTACAGAATGGGTGAGAAAAGAACCATGGCGAATGAATGATGACGTGTTCCTCCAGTTCTCTTCTCTTCATACAGATCTGTTATAATGAGAAAATTAATTTATTACTCTTTCTTTTTTGCAGATGAATTCTTTGCAATATGGAACAGCGGATTCAGAATATCATCTCTAAAAATAGTGGCCTGTTTATTGGAATTGATGTTCCATTTGATGAGAGCAAATCAAGTAAGGAGTTAAAAATTTATCATATCAAGACGGTGATTTACTTTTTGGTTAATTTGTCATAACTATCCCACTGTTTTTCAGACTCTCTATTTTACAGTTGTGATGCTCTGTTGGAAACTTAGACACCCCCCCCCCCTTCGCATCGCATCACCATCACCAGGATAGAGCTCTGTCCAATGATCTCCAATTCGGGCATCCAATGTCCTGATCACTTGTCGAAGGGTTACAGCATCCCCAGCGCCTCGCATCAGCAACGCCAGTACCCATCCTTGTCCAGTAAACCCCACGGTCTTGTTTATTTATTGAAGGCTTACAGCACCCCTGTACTTCATCAGCAACACCAGGATTCAGCTCAACCAAGATCCAATGGCCGTTCATGCGAGGATCCAATGTCCTGATCACCCGGCAAAACCTTACAGCATCCCCAGTACCTCGCATCAGCAACGCCAGTACCCATCCTTGTCCAGTCAACCTCACTGTCTTGTTTACCTATTGAAGGCTTACAGGACCCCCTGTACTTAATCAGCAACACCAGAGTTCAGTTCAACCAAGATGCAATGACTCCCCAGCAACTCCCAACATGACAATAATCTGCAACACTCGTGTAAAGATTCCAGGAGATACATACGCCAAAGATTAGCGAAGTCTCTACCACGTTATGAAAAAACGAAGTTCATCCTTGACAACTGTTCAGAACAAATGGATCCAGAAATACAAGACTATTCGAAACAATGCTATACTCGTCTTGATACAGTTCTTCATCAACTCTAGTATAGCTATACAGGATTATTTTGTGTGCATGAAGAAACTGATCAGGAGCCTGTTATTAGTAACCCGGCTTACACAAGATGCAAAGCGGGTCATGAAGAAGTTATCATTAATTCATCAGACTAGAAGAGGCTGAAGAAGCTGATGGGGATTCTCATCATGAACTTTCGGACTGCGTTGTCTACTTTCAATTTTATGATATCATTTTATCGTATCAATAAGTTGTACGTTGATTGTGATTCTCTGTGTTATAAATGTCAAGTCAGGATGAACCAGAATATCCCATATGAGGAATATTCTGCAATATTTATAGCGTCTTAAATAACGCCAGTACTTTTGTTATATATGTAAACTTATATTCCGATTGATTTCATTATAAATTTTGAGATACTTGTTACTGTATTGTTATGTTACATACTATTGGGGTATCCGTCCAGAGTTAAAGTTTCATAAGTATATAAATAGGTTTATGATGTTATTCGTTTTATTCTTTGATAATAATAATAATAGATAATAATAAATACGGAGTCAGGAACTTTATATCAATGTTTTCCCATTGTCTAAAGAAAATAAAAATGAAACCCAAATGTGGAGATTTTTTTTTATTCATTTCTGTCATCAATTCTGGTCCTTCATATGATCGAAACATTCAGTTGTGAAGAATTTAATTAATCAATCAAATCAAGATCGGCTCTCGGTCATAAATTCAGAGAGGTCCATTTTGTCCCATCTGCCCTCAGTACATTCCTTGAACATTGTTCTAATTACTCAAACCAAGTAGCCAACACAGAATTTCTAGTACTTTTTGTCACTAGGTTGGCAACACTGAGGTACCCTGGGACAGAAAAGCTAGTATCCATTTTACATTGAGTGTCTACCCCCTCCCCTCCGCGCTCACTCGATGCCGGCGAACCGTTCGGGGTTACTCCGCGCTTTTGAAAATGCATTCCTCCGTGGGGGAGATACATCCGCCGAGTCAGAACTGTACACGGCACCGATCTGTACACGGAGCGCTACTGTGCACAGCAGAACTGTCCATAAATGAAATAGTGCACGGGACGAAACTGTCCACGAGGACAAAGTATCCACAACGCGCCAAGCCGATAAACCAGCATCGGTATTGTAGGAATCGAATACATTTATCACCTATAGAATAAAATTGTCAGTAACAATTTCCGTTACCTGATGGCGCTATACCCTGGCGAATAAGGATCCATGTAGTAGCATGGATGTGCATGGATGTCATTTTAAAGCGAAAAATGGGCCAAAAATGATTGGAATATAATCAAAAAATTATTTAAATGCTGATAGACAAACAATTGGTCCCAATTAATACCCATTAATAGGTTATTTTGTATAATTAGGAGAAATTATTGCTGTGCTGTGTGGTAAAGAAGTTCAGATGGGAGAATGCCGCGAGATGGCGCCAGTGTTAAATTATCGAGTCGGCAGTAAACTGTCAGCAGTCGCAGGCATATTTTTTATTCTATTTCACTTATGAATATTAGATAAGTTTGGGGGGTGGGTTGATTTGGAATATTAGCACTAACCCATTTTGCCCCATTTGGCGAATTTCGCAATACATTATTGTGGGGGGGCGGAGGGGAGGGGGGGAGTCAAGCGGGAAATAGCTCACAGACCCATTTCGCCCCATTT